TTGAAGGTCTCTAGGAGAAGAAATTTGGGACCAGGATTGGGCAGGGCAAAGTTTGATGATTCTGGTACTGACTGTATTCTACCTCAGACCTTAATCTCTTCATATCAAGAAAACAAACTCCAAAGTTATTATGGGGCTATCAGTCACTCACTCCCTTTCATATTATAAAATGAAAATTCAAATTAAAAAAACCATTAAAAAAAAAAAGACAGCCCTCTCCTTTCCTTTCATCCCTCCTGGATTTAGAGAATTTGAACTGTTAAATGTCTAAAAACTGGTTTCTAAGATAAAAGGTTTTTCTTCACAAGATGAATTTCATCTACCTTTGCATCTGTTTCTGGCACAAGGATTTATAGGTAACATGAACACTAAATCCTGACAGAACCAGAGTAAGTATTCTCATCTTACTTGGAGCAGGCATAGCATCTCAGATGACAGGATCATTCTTTGCTAACTGACTATTAAGGGATTTGGATGTTAATGTGTAAAGGTAAAAGAACAGTGTAGAGGGATGGATACCCTGCAATGGCTGGAAGGAGCCTACACAGAGCCCTGGCCAATCAGAGAAGAACTTAGAGGAAGCCAATGAGAAAGCGGCTTGGTGGGGCAGCCTTGGTTATAAAGAGCTGCTCAGCAGAGCAGAGGGCAGTTGGGTCCTGATGAGGGAGGGCGCAGGACTGGCTCCCAAGTGGAAGAACCTTAGAGGCAACCATGCTCGGCAGGATTGGGGAAGTGGGAGAAAGGCTCCAACCTGATACCTGCCAGGATGTAGATGTGAATAGAGGGCCCAGGATTGTGCAAGGGTCACAGGGAAGCCCAGGGAACAGGAGGCCATTAAAGGCAAGAGAAGAAGGGCAGGAGAAGGCTGCCACCAGAGGGTCCCTGGGTTGAGATGCAGAGTAGTGAGTGGGCCTAGGTCCCTCCTTTCCCCTTGCACCACACCTAGCCACACTGGGGAGTGAATCTTTATAGACTGTGGCTTGCCCCTGAGGTAAGGGGATTGAGACTGCAGTTGGCCACAGGGCCAGGTGTGAGGCTGAAGACTACTGATATCCCTGGAAAGGAGGCGAGAGACCAATGTAGTGGCCACTGCTGGAGAGCAGAGCCCTGAAGAGGACACTTTGATCTTGGGAGTGACATGGGTCCAGAGCAGAGCGTGGAGAGAGAGTGAAGCAACAACAGGCAAGATACCGGCTGGAAGGGTGTGCCCAGCTGAGAACAGAGCTGATGTTTAGTGTGACCAGCAGGAGATGCTGTGGCTGTGAGTTACAAGATATAATAGCCTGGACTGAAATAGGCACTGACTGTGTATCACAGCATAAATACATGCACTCTTCTTCAAATAATCTAGCCCATAGCTCACTTGAAACTCGTAATAAACCTATACATTTATCTTATTTTGCAATAATCTTGGTATTTGGTTAATCTTAAACATTTTAATTGTTAAATATTTAACAGTGAAAGATGTGCAACCTAAAGGGGGCACCAGAAGATCATAATCCGAGGGTGTCCTGTTGAGCAAAGTGCTGTGTTTTGGGTTGTCTCTGGTAGGAGGCCGTGCAGGAGGTACAGGTAGTGAAACAGTGGGTGCATCAAAGGCGTCACCTGTGCAACAAAACAACAAGACGACAATTCTTTCTTACTTCACCTATAAATGAGTCAGATTGATGGTCTTCTAGAGTTAAAAACAAATAAACACGAAAAACATACCTAACTCTGGGTTTTTGGGTTTCTTTATCTCGGAAGCTACATTGTTTGCTCCATTCATTATACCAGCACACTGACCATTCTCACATACCCTGAAAACAGATATCAAAGGAAGAAATCAACCAACAACCCCATTTTTAATCCCTCAGATTACAAATAGAATACTATAGCACAACATGAGTAACATTCCTCTGGTTGTTTTGAGGTAAATTATAACAACTCTTAAACATTTATATTAAACCTTTCACTTTCAAAGCATGTTAAAACACAGCAACTGATTAATATCCATAAGCCTTCTGAGAAATTATACTATTTTACTGTTGGGGAAATAGAGGCACAGAAATTACGTAATTTATCCAAGCCTCCACTGCAAGAAAACGGAAGAGCAGGGATTAGTCCGTAGGAGTTCCTGTCTATTAACCCAATGCTCAGTCTACTAGAACATGCAGCTCCTGCATACAATTAAGTTACAATTCATCCTAACTTTGTCTAGTCAGCTGTGACAACCTACCCATATTGGTGCATGAAAAAATAAGGAAACTTGAGTACTTGAAGATTACTGAAATCAATCAGTAAATACACTGGAAATAATATCCCTTAAACAAGAACAAACCCATGGAAATAGTAATATTCTTGGTCACATTCTTAAAATAAAACAATTAACTAACTCTGTCCAAAACAAGTAAGTTGGTCTCCATTAGATCCTCTGTTGTCAATAAAAGCAGTGTACCGATTTGTCTTTCATATTCTTTTTTCTATGATTTTACTCTTTCTTTCAAAGGGAAAGAAATTGTTCTATAAAAAGAAGCTGAAGTGTCAATTTGGATACTAAAACTTCCCAGAACTAGCAATCCTGGTGACTAGGGCAGTAAAGTAAAAAGCTAAGGAAAATCCTACCATAAAAACACAAATTTCCCTTAGTGAATAACATTTGAAGGCTCTGCTACAAGACTCAGGATATTAACAGGAAACCAAAATCACTCAATAGTGAATTAAGTGTTATTTAAACAAGTGTTAAAAAACCAGTTGGAGAATGGAAGCACCTCAACTCTATGACAGGAACTGTGAAGTTTGTATAGCTATGAAGCATCAAAATAAACTTTTTTAGGGGAAGGTTATAAGTCACATCAGACCACATTTCAGTTATGTTATATTACATATACCCTTCTCACAAATCATTGTCCTTTTTAAACTAGTGAGTTCTAGAGTTTCACCATTAGCATGAGTGTAAATAAATCCATTCATAGGGAAGGGATGAATGAATAAAGAATGTAATTATTTAAAGCATATAAACAGGAAAGAGGAAGAGGAATTGTGGTTGGTTCCAGGAGGTATAAATAGAAACAATAAAATGAAAATAAAGAATAATTATTTTGATGATTTGAAGAAAAAGCTTCCTATTGGAGCAGTCTCCCAATGGAAGTGGAGGAAAAAACACTGCTTCAGTATTTTGACGTTAGACTGATTAAGTCAACCGAAAATATCCACCCTTGACTCATCGGATGGATTAGGTAAACAAGACATTTTAGGCCCTAATCTATGAGTCTATTCTCCGTATTCCATAAAATGACTAGTGCCCTAAAATACAGACAAAATGCCCTAACACAACTCCCTACCAATGAGGAAGTCTTCAGCCATAAGAGCATACTTTTCACATTTTCCATCACAGCAACTCTTTTTTCTCCTTGTTAAAGCAAATACTTTTTGGAGAATCACTATAAACTGAAAGAAACAATTATGTTATATTGATAGAGGCCTGATTAAACTGTTATACAGAGACACTTGTCTTCTCTCTCAATGCAGACAAATCTGGCAATAAGATAAGGTCAGCTACCAAACAAATCGATTGACTAACAATCTAGTCAGAAAACTACAGTGCAATCCATTTAGTACTTTATAGTACGAATTTTGGAAGCGTACTATGTTACACTAGTACAGGGGAACAAAGTCTTAAAATTAAATATGCATTTATAAAGCTCAGGATGGGATGCTGGAATTCAATAGCTACTGAACTACATGATATCCACAATAATGACCGCAGTCCTTCTATTTCCCTTAAAGAATCTGGGCTCAATCCAGGATCCTAATGAAGTCATCCCAAGATTATTTTGGCCCCTTATGAAGTCCCTGTCACGGCCAGAAAACTGCACACTAATGGAAAAGGGAGAAATGGCTGCAGTCAAGAGTGTAAAATCTCCAACTTAATCTCAAAACGGGAGGCCAATAAGTGTACCCATACCGACCAATCTTTTGTGATGTGTTTTGAAGGTGAGGATGGGAATTTGGTACGTCTCCACAAAAAGTTACAAAAATTCTTTCAGCGTATGCATATTAAAAGTAAAACATACCAGTTATATACATTAAACAGCTGAATGAATTCACATATGAAAAACACATTGAGAGAGCTCCCAATAGACCTTTTGTGAAGAAAAACCCTGAATTTTTCAGGCATCGAAAACAAAAAAATTTCAGTTTTTCTGTTTTCAACAGTAACAAAAATTAAAGGAAGAGAGATTTCTCACAAAATGGTCATTTCTACCACAACAACCCCTTGCAAACTTTTTTTGAATGAAAAATATTGCCTACCTCAAGTTCCTAAGTATATGCTGTAGGTCAATCACAGTTGTTTGTGAAATATATAATTTTGAGAGTTTACATGCCAGCATCAACTTTAGCTAAAAGCAGACCATTAATGTAACATTTGGAATATTTATATAGAATAATTTAATAGGTCATTTCCATATCTTCTAGAATGTCACAGGTTTTTATTTTAGGCCTCACTTTCTTGTTATTTATGTAATTTTAACAGGGTTATCACATGAAATCATGACAGAAACTAGGGACGTGAACAGTTTGGGAGTTGGCACCTCACGCAAGCAGGGGGCGGGGAGGAGCAGAAGCAGTGAAGGAGAGGGCTGCGGACTCCCAGCCCACACAGATGCATGAGCTGGGAGTTGATAGCCTGCCCTGCCCTGCCCCACCCCCCACCACTTCCAGCCTGCCTGGGCTGGGAGCCAGCACCCCAGCATGGGGGTGGAGCCCACCCACCCTTTCCCTATTTAATCTGTTAACCAGTTAACTAATTAAACAGGAATTTAATTAGTGCTTGGATTAGTGCTTGGCTAGCACTGTTGATCCTAAGGGTCTGTGACCACCTGCAGAAAAACTCAATTACGGATCACTGAGGCTAAAAAACAAATGGTAAAGGCAATGGAGGAAACTTTGAAACGTATAACTGTGGCAGCCTGAAAAACACAGAATAAGATTCTCAGCCCCACTCTACTCCTTTTGTGTCTCACTGGAGGTATCAAGGGAGTGGACATTTCTTATAAATCTCTATCTAGAGATTTTTCCTAGTATAGGAATTCTAAACAGCTATAGAACCAATGGAGTTTGTGCCTCTGCAGGCCCCTCTTCCTTTCCTTCATGTTCATGATTCATCCATTCATACAGGCAACTCATTTCTTTACTACTTGGCTGACTTGGTGGCAATACGGTGGGACAAACCAAACCAAACCTCTGATAAATAGGCCCACACATATAAAGTCTTAAAATCCTACCAGTTGTGCAAAGGCAATTCTATTCAGTAAGGACTGAATGTCTATTAAAAAAAATCAAAACATTTTTTTCCTCCAGAAGTACAGGTTGGAGTTTAAGGAAACATGATTGGGAAACACTCAAAGACCAGTAGAACAGTCATATCTATACAGAAAAGGTTGTGTCAGCATCCTTATTAATAACAGCAGCCTGTATTTCCAGGAATTAGGACACAACTTGGACACAACAGTTAGTCAGAAGGTGTCCTTTTTGCTATGCTGGGCTAAATCTCTTTGATTAAACATGTAAAATCAGACCTTAATTGGTCAAGTCTAGAATGAGGAGAAGATTGAGTTTTATTGCTCTGACATCACATTCTGAAAAGAAAAAAGTCCTAATGTATCAATATGAGTTTCAGGCTGCAGAAGAGTCAGAACTTAGTAGATCAATAATTGATTTTAATATAGTACTTTTGACCTATAAAACTACTAGTAATTGGTTCTTGTATTTCAGTCTCTTTCCTGATTAGTCTCTTCATTTTGCATGCTCAGATTTGCTTTATGAGTCAGGGATCGAGATGGTCACTATGAGCCACACAGCCTTCGGGTCTCAATGTCTCTTGACTCCAAATCTCCTTGCTACAACCCATTAATGATTCAGAGAAATAGTTTCGGGAGATTATTTAAAGATATATTTAAAGTACAAGAGAGATATTAAGTCTGCATGAAAAATGTTTTCTTCCTGTGAAGCACAAAGGAATTTCTACTATGAAATGAGCTCCGAAAGTTTAAAGAAGTTGCTATAATTCTGGTACACGAAACAAGGAGGGAGTGAAACCATGGGAAGTACTGCTGTATTTTGATAGTCACAGTGTATTGATTCAACTGTGTTTTGCATTCTGTTATTTAAATTCTGGACCACGGAGATACAAATATGCTGAGCCACAGAGGTTTATGACTTCTATTCTCCTTCAAATCCACCAAGGGAATCAAAGGGCATGAATAACCCAAGCATGAAAAGATTAGACCTTTACAAGGCAGGCAGCTTCACCATGATTATAACCAATTAGATTTTAGAAAACGTGTCAAAAGTTTGTTCTAAAAATGATTTTATTCTCCTCTCCAAAGCAATGCAGTGCAGCAAACTACCTTACCTTGTAGGAGGTTTTATATTATGACAGTGAGGTGGTTGGGAACTCAGGGATACAGGATGGGATGAAGGAATCTTGTACTCGTCTTCTTCTACATGTTGTGATTTCTCAGCAAGGGAATTCGTTACAGGAACAGTGCACCTAAGAGAAGGGGGGGGCATGCCCAGCATTAGTTTGACTGTTGAAGAACCATGGTTGATACAACACTAAAGAAAACATCAATGTCTCCAGTTTATAACAGCAACAAAGATTTCCTGTCAGCCTAAATAAAAACATGAGATTGCTTTTCCCATCTCATATTCTTAAGACTATACAGTGAAGCAGGCAGTAAGCCATGGACAGTCATTGTGCTACTTTCTCATCAACTGGAGTAGCAGAGAGCCATAAAAAATTAAATAGATTTAGAATACAAAACATCCATTTAAGAGGCTTAACCCGATTCTATTTACCAAAGGAGCTAAATGAAGGTTACAATCAGGCAATAGTATTTTGAAGGACTCAGCGAGAGTGCTGACATTCACAGTATGCCACCAGTTTTGTGATGTTTGAATCCACTGATGCCACTGCCCGAAGAGCGTTTGTGTTTTCTTAGGTCTGGCTTTTGAATGGTCATTTTATCTTCCTGGACCTCTGCCCTCATTGTTACCAGGATATGGTGGAACCTCAAAGATGGGTATATCTATGAGGATATTATTTGCCGCAGAGGAGAAAGAGAGGTTGGAAATCAGTGCTGGTGTATGACCTGGGTCACAAGGATTGGATGCAGATCCGCATTTTTTCAGAATTCAGGTTTTGATTCCAGCTTCTCTTGCTACTGAAGCGATAGAAACCTGCTTTTTTTCCTCATGATCAGACTGGCCACCTGCTACATTTGAGTTAACAAAAATACAAGCACTTTGTAGGACCCTGCTCCCTTTATCTGTTGCCCACATTTATTTATGCAGATGGGTCCCCACCACTGCAAACCCAATTTAGTGATATTGAATTGTGGAGGAGTGCAGACGTACTTTCTGGGGAGGGCAACCTGCTTGTATTCTGCAAAGCCAGGCTCAACAGAATCTACTTTTACACTCATGGAGAGGGGATTGAGATGGGCAGAAATAAACAGGAATACTGGCAGTAGGTCAGAAGCCACACAAATCCAATAAGTCCCCTGCTAAAGGAAGAAGGATAAATGCAACCAAAGCAATTGCTATTGCAAGTGCTAGAGGTTTCAAGATCAGTCAAATACTACCACTATACCAGCCTAGGAAACAGATTTCCCCCCATACACACTTAGTCCTAGGTCCTTCCACTTAGCCTTGGTAACAAATATGGCATTGGTTTTAGGAATATAAAAAAAAGTGTTCTAATTGTGAACTGAATATAAATAAAATCATACACAAAATGTAATTCCTCAGCTAGCAGCAACAAGAGGAACGTACAATTATGAAAAGAGAAAATCTTTACAAATAAGTCTGATAGTCTATCCTTTGTTCTCGGTAAGCAATGACTAGACATGTTCCAAATGTTGTGAACAACATTTTACTGTCCACTGCTTACTATTCTCCACTTCTTACTGTAAACCAATGTTTATAATGATCACATTGCTAATCTAATAAAAATAATCACAAAATATCTTGAGCAGGACCTGGTAAAGCTTTATTAAGGCTGTCATTTACTTTCAACCTTAAATGAAATGGTCATAGGCAATGCTTGAGTCTTAAACTAATTAAATAATAATGATCAGGAGTGAAATGCCCTAAAATAATCTGGATATCAGATTCTGAAATATTATGCAGTCAATAATGGGTGCACTGCTTAGTCTGGAAAGGTGCACAGTTGATTTAAGAAACCTAGACTAAAGACACATGTTCCTAGGCAAGAGACATCTGTTTAATGGGGTATTGTGGGAGGGCTGCGAGTCACAGAGAAACTTGACTTTGAAAGGGGAGTGGGCTTCAGTTTAAGTCAGAAAGGAGTATGTTATTCATCCTTTATACTTAATATTGCCACATGACTACCCAACACCAGATGCTACTTTAAAAGGGTAAATTTGGCCACTATAAATCTATTAGGTCATGAGTCTGCAAAAGCAGAGAGAAAGCAAAAGGACTGTTGTTTTAGAGTGGTATGTATGCTGCATTTGCTAAATATATTCTAAGTCTGAAGCTCCCTAATTCTTTGAAACCTCACAGATATTCTTTCCTGCAATCATTAATATAACTTTGACATTAAAAAACAAGCTGTGAAAGGCAGGAATCCAATTTATTTTGTGAACACACAGTAACAGTGGGCAGATCTCTATTGAAAAACAGAAGATTTATGGAACTAACTTCTATAGCTGTCTGTACTGTAGTTTTCAGCCTCCTTCTGTAGAGGGAGCAAAAGGCCTTTTGTAAATATAGTAGTTCAGGCTGAAATTACTTTTTCCAATCTTTGATTTCATATTCCTAGTTAAAATTGTCAAGAAGTTTCTGCTAATGCCCTGTGCCGATCACATAAGGGTTGGAAAAATATAACAGAAGAGTAAGGAAAGGTCAGAATCCTTAGAGAGAAAGTTCAAAGGCCTACATAAGAGGACTTTTCTCAGATTTATGGATCAGTAAGTATTGATACCTTGCAGCCTAAATTCCTTTAAAGAGTATTTTATATTTTTTAAACTTGAAAACCACTCTAACAAACTCGTGTAACATCCTTGTTTGAGAAAAGATGTCCAATGTGACCCGTACAGATATAGTGAGCTATTCCCTGTTTTATGAAACTATACTCCACATAGCATAAAACAACTGAGAATACTATAGCAAGAACAGACGACTATACCAGATTTGAAAATCTATGTGCTTGCCAGTACTCTATTCATAACTTGTTAAGGAAGAAACTGCCTGTTACTAAGCTTTCATTATTCCACTATTAACATAATAGTATTCTAATGAGGAAGGTACACAGAAACCAAAGCAGGCAGACATAGCCATGGATATTTCTATGGAATTTGTAATTGTTAGATAAAAATTATCTTGTGTTTCACAAATAGATTCTTGTGCTCAGAGCTGGATTTTAATAATATGGGTACAGGTTGGACCTCTCTGGTCTAGCACCACTGGGGACTGACTGGTCCCGAACAAGAGAATTTTCTGGACCAGAAGAGGTGTCCCCTGCCACCAGCCCCGAGCCAGCCAGCTTCCTGCCTCTGACCCCCTTTCAGCCCCTCCCCAGCTGGGCTGTTCACCCTGCTGCCTCCAGCCCCTGGCACTGTGCTGCTGCGGGAGGCTGGGATTCTCTGGTCCCCGGCCCCATGCTGCTGTGGGCAACCAAGGTTCCCTGGATCCTGGCCCTGTGCTGTCATAGACGGCCAAGGTTCCCCAGCCTCACGCTGCTGCAGGCAGCTGGGATTCTCCGGCTTGACCTTAGCACTTTTATAGGGCTCTGGCCCCGCTGCCCCTTGCCGGACCAGAGAGTGCTGGTTTTCAGAGGTTCAATCGGTATTAGCGATTTGTTTGAAGTTATCCAAAATGTATCTGTTTGACACTTCAGGAGAGGCTTTGATTGCTTCCTCCAGATATCGTTCTAGCCTTTGTTCACAGATTTAGTTACAAAATTGGTTAATTGTAAACTATGATATTTGGACAGATTATTTCAAATATTTATTTTTAATATTTACTCTAAAAAAAAAATTGCTACTCCACCGAAAGTTCTGGAAAGATGTGTGTACATATAAAGCAGTGGTTCCCAAACTTTTTGGCATCACGCCCCCTTTTTGATTTTTGAGAAACCCTCACGCCCCTCCTCCCCTATAGCAGCAAAACTTGCTAAGCAAAAAACAAACAAACAAAAAAAAAAACCACCCACACCAAACCCCACAACCTGACTGGGGCCTAAAAACAAAAATAGCAGCATAAAGGAAAAGCCAAGGAATTAAATAACAAAATACACTGAAGCCATCTTTAGTCCCTTTTGGCAGTGTTTGAAATTTGAAGGCTGGCGTCAAATCCTTATCAATGGTATCTCATGAAGAGTACTGATGGCCAAAGGCAAGTCAGGGAAAGCTATTAAATCAAAGTACTGCTGTCGGTAGCAGGCCAGTCATTCTCAGGCCACTGCAGTTTGACTGGAGGAACTCCGAGCACACTGACAGTTTCCAATTATTTACATTGCAAGTTCCTCTGGGGAAAGAGGACTCCTTATTTAACGGGAAAGTGCTTCAGAAACCTTGGCCAGTGTGGGCTCAATCCTGCAAGGTGCGGAGCACTCTGGCCTTCATCCAGCAAATCATACAGGCCGGTAGGACTCCTTAAATGCTTCAAGTTAAGCACGTGCTTCAGTGATTTGCTAGATCAGGGCTAGAGTGCTCAGCATCTTGCAGGCTTGAGCCCCTGTACAAATAATGCTACTTCCAGTGCCACTGCTGGAATAATCACAGCAAATTACAGTGAAATCCTGACATCCCTGAAATCAAAAGTAAAACTCCTACTGAATTCAGCAGGGGCAGGATTTTACTCTAAAAATGTATTTGCACATATAAAACAAGGACATCCATAAAATTAATAAATTAAAAGGGAGTGTTGCTGAGACATCCAAAGAGCTTTATGCGATCTTCCCTGAATACTGTTAAAATTATTAGACCTGTGAGATATATTCATAAAATAAAGAGCCATTTGAAGATTGAAATTCTTTGCATTACATCACAAGCAATGTATCTGAGGAGACACACATTTACTAACAAAAAGGACACACACATAAGTAAGGCAAGCATGATTGTATTATACACAGGATAGCTGTTGAGCAAAGATGGTATAAAGACTATATGCATGACGTGAAACATTACTTTCATACCTTTCTTCAATAAAAACTAGCTAATTAATCAAAATTGCTAAAAAAAGAGAGAGCAATTTCTGCAAGTGTGAAAGTCATAGGAAAGGTAAGAAAGTTCACACTAAATTCCACTTCACAAGAAATAGACATAAAAATGACAGTTCATTAGCAATCCATAACATAATATGGATTTTGAACAGTCCAGTATCAACAGCATAATTATTTTTGCACTCTGGATTAGAAATTCAGTTGCAAAGTGGAAAATACAAATTAATACAAGTCATGTGCCTTGTTAAGGTACTAATAATGGGGTAAGCATTTTACTAATTATGAGGGGAATGCTCTTTTGAAATAGAAAGTAAATTCAACAGTTCAAAGCAGCAGACAAAAACTTTGGAGTCCTGTGGCACCTTAAAATCTAACAGATTTATTTGGGCATAAGCTTTGATGGGCAAAACCTCCCTTTTCAGTGGGTTTCTGCCCAAAAAAGCTTATGCCCAAATAAATATCTTAGCCTTTAAGGTGCCACAGGACTCCTCGTTAGTTTAGCAGATGCAAACTAACATGGTTACCCCTCTGATACTAGTCAAAACTTGAGTTTTTACAGGGAAGATCAAGGACCTAAATGAAGACGTATTAGAAGGACACACAAAAATCACAAACTTAAGACCAGCCCAAATGATATGGTACATCTAGGTAAAAAACATACCCAAAGAAAAATATAAAACCTTCTACAACTATTGACAATTGCTTGCAATGGCAAAACTTTGTTGTCAAGGTTCTTTCAAAAGTTTTCCTGTACTACTGTATTCAAATATGGCAAAAGCATGAAAAGTGAGATGTATGGGAATATCTTCCCAAGGCTGTAGGCAATGTAAAAATGGATGAAGGATATCCAAGGTATATGGAATATCAGAAGGGAGGCAGTGTGACCTACTGGATGAAGCAGTGGACTGGTTCTCAGTAGACCTGTTCTATTCCTGGCTCTGCTACATGACCATGGGCAATACAAATCTTTCCTCTGTGCCTCAGTTTTCTCATCTGTAAAATAGGGATAATGGTACTGACCTCCTTTGTAAAGTGTTTTGAGACCTACTGATTAAAAATGCTACATATGGGAGTTGCTATTATTGAGCAGCTTCTTTTAATCACCCTTTTTTTCCACTGAATTAATCATGACATTTTGGTCCTAAATGTTTATTTTAATCTGTTTCTAGAACAATTATCTACAAGTTTTAAGGAGAACCTTAATTTGTTCATTTTGTTCCCTCTTCCCCCCAAATATATTTCATTATTCATTCATTTAAACTAAGCAGTTTAAAAATTCAATCAGCAAATAGCAGTGGTGATTTTTATCTTAATGACATTCAGTAAAAATATTTTCAAAATATGTTTTTTCAGAATGTCAGTGTAAATTTAATTTGCTGCCAGATATTTCAGTTGACACACATTGGAAGTGGAAAGGGGTCTTTGTGTAAATGAGACTAGGCTCAGAGAACAGTGAATTAAAACAATCTAGCCCATGATTTTGCAAGATGTGGTTTCTGAGTAGGAACAGATAATAAAAGGAAAGGATCTTAGTGTCTGTAGTCCTGCTGCTGAATTATACTTTCTGAAAATAATAGAAAAAAAGCCCACTGTTCTGTATAATGTGAGCTAGCTGCCAGTCATGCTAAACAGAGGTCTGTGAATAGGAAAGATGGCAGAACTAGGTTCGGAGAACAGCTAGGGAAGCTATAATGTCTTTGACCAAACTGAAAACATTTGTAAGGGCGAGAGGCACTCAATTTCACAGAAAACAACTCTTAAAAGTATTCTCTCAAAGTTGCATCAGGCTGAACATTATCCAAGTTATATGCCTGAAAGAAATGTTTGTTGTTGCAAACGTGGTCTGAGTTCATTAAGCTGATTAGTTTAAAAAAAGTACAGCACCAGTATCAATCTGATTTCACATACTTTGTCAAGCACGGGTCAAAATTATTGAAGACTTTACCTACTGGCAGCAAGATTTTAATTGGATTAATTTTAAAAGGGGACATAATATAGTATTTTCTATTCGGCACAGTAATAATGTTTCTGTTTTACCACCCATCCCATGCGGCACAGTTATAGCTGTTGTATAGACAGCCTAAAACCTTACACACAACATAGTAACATGTTTTTTAATTTAAAATGTACTTGATTTTTTAAAAACAAAAACCAAATGAGTCATCATGAAAAACTAGACCTCAGTGGGTATTTTCCTTTGTGGGGGGAGGGGAGGAAGAGGCCTGGAAAATGGAAATTCCTATGGAAATATTTCAATTTTCCACTAATAGAACTGAAACAATATAGTTTCTGGTCAGGTTGACCTAAATGAAAATGTTTCCATTTGTCAAACCAAATTAACACATTAACACATTTCATTTTGCAGCAAACAACACTAAATTTGTGTCTGCCTCAGTAGCAGTGGTGCCTCCTGGGACCTGTAATTCAGATGCTCATGCTCCCATTCTCCTATGTCCATCAGACTCCTTAATGGGACTACACCTCCCATGACACACTACAATCTCATCTTTAGCTGACCTGCCATAGTGCACAATGTGAGTCACATAGCTGTGATACATCATGGGAGAGGTGGTCCATCATGGGAATCCAGCCCATACAAGAAAATTGGACCCTGAGGTAGGAGTGACCATTTCAGCAGAAACAGATTAATGTCAAATTAAGTCAGAATTCAACATTCTGACATTTCCGAATTGAGACACTTATGAACTTTCTGTTCAAAATGAAAATAAATGCTGAAATATCCCAATTTCTTCCAGTACATAAACTGCAATTTTTAATTGCCTCTGATTCATTTTACACAATATTCTCAGAATCAAACATTTACATATATGCATGTATTGCATGGTGTTTATTTCAAACTATTATTGGACTGTATATGAGCCAGCATTTATTTCAATATACAGATGTCCACTTTCAATATGGAGATGTCTAGATACAAGCAAGCTTCCCTCTCTTTGCCATGCTCAAATTCAGAAGTTCAAACAACAACAAAAATGGTTGGAGCATGTGTGTGTTCAAAACCTGCCCCAAATAAATTCACCTTTGAACCTGGTTAAATATGAACAATTTCAACTCAACCGGTGGCTATTCCAGAAAGTTGTGACCAAATGAAAGTGTGTTATAATCAAAGTATGTGCTGTCCATTGCAACGTTATTATAACTTTTATGCTTTGATAAAAAATGAGAGAACAATGACATTGAGCTACATTCACCCTTCATTCTGTTCTTGTCTGTTACAGGAAATTGGGTTTTACAAAGATTTCAAAAGACTTGTGATAGAAATGTAGCCGTGTTAGTCTGGTGTAGCTGTAACAAAATACAGGACTATGTAGCACTTTAAAGACTAACAAGATGGTTTATTAGATGATGAGCTTTTGTGGGCCAGACCTACTTCCTCAGATCAAGTAGTGGAAGAAAAGTCACAACCATATATACTTGATTTGTCCTTTTCATATGTGTTCTTTTTTTTAATTGTATCCTTTGGTATATATGGTTGTGACTATTTTCTTCTACTTGATCTGAGGAAGTAGGTCTGGCCCACAAAAGCTCATCATCTAATAAACCATCTTGTTAGTCTTTAAAGTGCTACATAGTCCTGTATTTTGTTTCAAAAGACTTGGTATTGTCATATTCTACTGGTACCATTCTTCTTGTTTCAACAGGGACCAAGTATGCTGACGGATGTAATTATTTTACTGCACAACTATAGCTATGCTATTACAGTGCCCAAAGAAAAACTGAATAGTGTAGGGAGCCATCAAGAATTGTGGGATAATATGGTTTACAAAGAAAAAAAATCCATAGAGAACAACTCATTTACAAAAAAGGGTTTGAAGTGCTGCAGAATCTACTGGTTTTGTAGACGATCCTATGGGAAATCACAGCCCAATCAGAAGATTCACTTGTTCCCAAGAGAACATACTGACATCCAAAAACAAATAATATGATTCCAAGTAAAAGAGTAATGTGCTAACTTGAAAGGACAAAATTCACCAGGTGAAAAAAGTGGCAGCCATTGATCCCACAGAAATGGTTGCCCATATCATACTGTGCATCAGTGTGGGCTTGTATTCTGGCCAGAAGCTACAGGAATGAGCACAGACAGTATAGGCACCATGGCTGGATTAGAGATTATAGGCACCCACAGACCATGCACTTTACCCTGTAGGTCTTGTCCAACAATATTTCAAATGAATGGCTTTGAGTGGCTTCTCTCTAGGCTTAGTAGGGGAACGGAAACAGGAATGGATAACTTCCCTTCTGTGCTCCCACTACCGAGGGGGCCTATAACAATGCCTACCAGAATTCATCCCATTTTACTATAAAGTGTATGTGACATGTTAAATTAGCATTACTATTGCTCCCATTTATTCAACACAGTGTACTTTTGAAAAAGCCCATTCAAGTTCATATCCACCAGGATAACTTAGTTAATTCTCTTTTTACAGTGGCTGAGAATTAGTGCAATTGTCTATATAATTAATGCATTTGTTTTATTATAAAACCCCAGATAAAGATAACTTACTTCATACTAGGGAGGATGGAGACAGCTGTGAGGGGGGGTGAAAGTCGAGGAGGGACATCATACTCTTCATTTCCCAGATGACCATTTAAAAATACCTGAAAGATAGACAGAAATGTTACCAGGATATTGTTAAGTATATAGGATCACAGATATGTGATGTGTATTGCATTACAAGTTCCCCCTGCTGCAAGGACTTTGAGATCTGAGCTGATGTGTATGATGCAAACAACTAGCGAATGGGCCAATGTGTGGCATTTTCAAATTGGTTCCTTTTTCAGATTGAGTAACCTGACAACTCTACTAGCCATGGGACCAGACCAGCACATTACTACTAAGCTATAATTGGACCTGTAAACCCAATACTAGCTTCAAAGGCTTTCAGGATACATCTACACTACAGGACAAAGTTGAATTAAGATATGCAATTTCAGTTACGTTAATTCCATAGCTGAAGTTGAAGTAGCTTAACTCAGCTTTAGGTGCTATCAAAACTGCAGGAAGTCCAAGGAAGAACACTCTTCCTTCAACTTCCTTTACTCCTCGTGGAAGCAGGGTTACCGGCATCGACTGGAGTGTGCCTCTCACTTTGAATTAGCTGTCTTAACTAGTCCGCTAATTCGAACCCTGGAAGATTGGCAGCTTTGATCTTCCTCTGTAGTGTAGATGTACCCTCAGCAAGAATCCCGTTGGATGTGGGGTAAATGTTTTCTCTGTCCAAAATCAGAGGGGGAGTGGGGGAGGAGCCTGATCATCAACAGTATCATGGGACTTACAGAGCACCTTTCACTGGATCATGTCAAAGAACTCTACCAACACTTATTAAACTCTCACCTCACCCCTTTGAAGTATGTATAGTATCCATTTTATGGAACACAGACACAGAGCTTAACAGCTTGCCAAAACAGACAGGACAGGCAACCCATGTCTTTCAACTGTAGTGAGTTAAACCATAAATGCATCCTCTCTCCCTTCATAATATGAGTTATACATTTTCCAAGCAAAAGTTATAATACAGCAGCCCAAAGTTAATAGGCTGGTCTAAGAATCATTAATGAACCTTTGATAAAACTGATTAGAGCAGAATCAGGAATATTTTTCTTAGGTCATTGCTAAGGCCACTGCTATCCAATGTCTTTAAAGCTATGGCTGGCCTTGAAAATTTGGACAGCTTTAAATCATCAAACTTATGGAAAAGATTTCTCAGTTTTCATGAAAATCAGGTGCAATTATTAAGGATAAAACGGTTTTAGGGCAAGATACAAAGCCTATTTATCCCAAGGCTGTAGGATAGAGCCTTCAGTCAAAATCTCAAAGCTATATGTTTAAGTAATTTTAAATACAATTTTAAACATGTCTTATGTTACAATACTTTTACTTCACATGTGTTATTAAAAAAGTAGTCACATGTGCTGTCAATTAGTATTTTCAACCTGTGTGCCTCCTTGCAAATAAAGAACACTAAAAAACACAAAATTGGCAATTTTTCAGTTTTAAAAAGTAAAGCTATACAATGTTCAGGCAATAAATTTTAAGCCCCAGGAGCATTAAAGAGCCTTATTAACTCACAAGAAAAGAGTAGACTCTGATATCAGTAGAGAAGTCAAACATCCCACTCTGAGAAATGGCATGTTCAATGCCTTGATGCCTAATTTTTCAGTTTTCAGGCATAAACAGTGGGTGACAACCAACTCCTCAAAAATAATATTTTCTTAATTAAAAACAATTTTTTCATTTGCTTGAAAAGCAAATGGAGTCAAACAGTCCTCATCCATTTTTAATCTTTGGAATTAGTTGTCTAAGTACCACAATATAAGATTTTAGCTATTTGTTTTTAAACAAGACAAAACAGAGTTAGCAAGAATTATGGGTATATTCTGTTTTCATGAAAGTATTCCTCCCATTGTTCTTAAGATATAGAAAATTCTAGCTAAAAAACAGAATATAAAAATGTTTTATTAATCTAAAAACAAAATTACCATAGCTGAAAATGGAGCATTAAAAAGAAGGAAGCCTCAATTTATGTTAGGAGTCACATTTTTCGGATATATTTGGAATAACTACAAGGCCAAAGGTCAAGTGACTAACTACAAAAAGCACTGTGTCTTGGGGAAACTGTGTAGCTAGTTTGTCTTATTCTTAAACTGAGTTTAGAAACTAAAAATAAGGGACAGTGTTATCTGTGCATTACTGACATAGGTATAAATACATCAGTAGAAAATAGGAACATTTCATTAAAGCTCAAAATGCTGATGTCGTTTTACAGATCAACTGTAATGTCCTCATAGAAGAACAACGTTAAGAAATCCCTCGAGGGTTTTTTTGTTTTGTACCAAACTTCACTTTTGACAAAAAATTTCCATGCAAGCTACTCATTTTAAAATCCACTTTTACTCAAAAATGGTTTACTGAAGTGTGACCACAACGATTGAACAATACATCAAGATATAAAATACAAAAATATTGCTTGAGAGAAATTTTCAGTCCATCATCCACATTATTTATTAAGTATTGGCTCTGAAGGAGGCATCAAATACAAGTCCTGTTGCAAAACTGCATATACATACATGCCCCTGCATTTCACAGGTGCAAACACCTGCAATTTATACATTTACCATTCTAAAAATCTACAGGCCCCTTTAGCAGAATTTGCACCTGCAGAATCCAGCAGCACAGATGCATGCTAGCACCTGTATAATTTTATATATGCACAAATTAAGTCCTAACAACTGAAAATCATATCTTAATCTTCCAGCGAATATAGTCATGGGATGGAACAGCACCTTTTGTGGAAGCTGTATTTTATAAACAGACAACCAAAATGATACTCCTGCAATACATAAAACTTGTTGAAAGTCCAAGTTTATGATGCACTTTACATTGATGTTGGCTACAGAGGAGTAAATGTTTGCTTTTGGTATTATGTATCAGCAGTCAACTGGGTACACCCCTAAGGATCTGTCTCATTTCATATTCACTGAAAATACTTTTTGCTGACTTCAAATGTGCATGCAAGTCTGCCATGGGAGTCAACAGACGGACATATATCTAATAGCAACATCTAGCCCTCGTGGAAGAGAAATTCTATTTTGAAACTTCTAAAAATAACCCTACGTCAAACCACAACAGAGCACAAGACTCACAATCACACTGGAGCAAGAGAATTAAAATCAAATCATTCCTAATATGGAAGCACAATGTTAATGTGGGATGTTTACTCTCAGATGAGAGAAAATGTATTTGACCTTCAACTTCTAAAACCAACTAGTGGCCTTGAGATGGCCCTCTACATTATGGTTCTCAGGGAAGCTTGCCAACAGTGTAGTACACATGCATCATTTCTTTTATGCAGATGGTAAGACACTGACAGGTGGTTAACTTTGAAGCACATTCTCTTAATTATGCTGGATATTGTTTCCTGTTAAGATTTCATCAAGATGTTAGCAGAGATCTCACTTTGTGTACTCCTTCTGGAGTGATTTTTGGTCACATAAGAATGCCAGCTATAACATGCTTCTGCATCACCCTCCAACTGCACAGCTTTCCATATCAGGGCTCTAGTACTAACAAGCAGCATCAGAGGTTTGTTCTCTTTCCAAAATGCATCCCATTCATTTGAATGCCTATCACAGCTTTTGAGCCTGCTTGCAGTTTCGGAAGCAGAACTCGCTCACTGGCTCAAATCGTTAGTGGAAGAAGAAATAATTTGAACTGATTTGTGCCATACTTTGGGGGCTGGGTTTAGACACCCAATTCCCTTTATTCTCGAGGCACTGCAGCAGCACACGATCTTGGCGGGGCAGACAGACAAGCTGAGAAGCAGGCTAAAGCCAAAGCAAATCCCTCATGCACATCTTCTTGCACTGAGTACAGGCAGTCCCCGACTTACGCGGATCCGACTTACGTCGGATCCGCACTTACGAACGGGGCTTTTCTCGCCCCGGAGCTCACGGGCGGCGGGTCGCCACCCGTGTCCTCCGAGGCGAGAAAAGCTTCTCCCGGTCTCCCTGGTCTGCTGCGGGAGGGTCCAGCAAAGCCGCTGGGCCCCCCCCCCGCAGACCC